CTTTGCAAACGATTAGAATTTGAGATTACGTAGCTCTTCTCTTATTTGACATCTAAATTCTTCTAAAGGTATCATCTCACTAGTAAACTTCATTATAGCACATATTTTTTCCAGATGGTAGATATAGTTTGTAAGACCTTCTCTCAAACTGTTTCCCAAATAATCTAAGTTATGTGACATCTCGTCCATCTAAACATAAAGTCACGATCATCTAAAATAAAAATCACAAATCCGGAATGGTCCACAAACAATGGGTGAATCCCAGTAAGATTAAATGTTTCATGAAAGTATTCCAAATAATCAAGATATAAAAGATCTTCGTCTTTTTCATCTTTAACTTCATGAAACTCACGATTATTCTTTAGTTTATCTATTAATTCAGACAGATCTGGCAGTCCAGCATGGTGGTTTCACTACTTTTTTCTATATATCCATTGTGCGAGATCTGACTAGAAGATTCGCTTCCACTTGGATAGAGCAATTCATGGATTCGTTTCCAAGCAGTTTCTGAGCCACCATGTTTCTAGTATTGATATACAGTTAAAATAATAATTAATAATTATAATATATATAGAAATTTTACCTTCTAATAGCATACCTCCTTGAGATGGTTTGGGTTTATTGTTGTAATGTCAATTTTGTAAAATGTTAAATTCTTAAAAGTGTGAATCATAGTGAAATGGCCAATTATCCAATAAAATCAAACATATGTATAGTTCTGTAATATTGCGTAATTGTGATATATTATTTTATGCTTTTTTTTTTTTTTAATTTTATATTTAAACTAGATAGCTGTGTGACGTTAATATTATCGCAAAAAGAAAACTAACTTGACTGCTAGATAAAATTACTTGTAAGAATTTACGTCTAATTGATTACTTTACCCTTCAACTGGTTACTTTTTCATCAATCAAAAATTAATTAATGTGGTATTTATTTAGACTGATTTTTATTATCATATGTCAAATAATTTTCTAGATGTACAATATTAGTAAATGATGAAAAATAACTTTTTCTTCGAAGTTAATATCACCCTAGTGCTGCTACGAGTGACATTAGTTTCGATAAAAGAAACTTCCTATCAATTCTTGACTTAATAAATTGCTATTAACAATTTTTTTATAAAATTTATAATACAATAACTAAAGAAAAACTATATCATAAGATAAAAATTATTATTAATATTAAAATATATTAAAATCTGATCTATAGCATAAACTGAAATATTAAAGAACTTCCAACCTACAATATTTAAGAATGGCTGATCTGTAATATTCAAGAATAGGTAACTTATATATTTTTTGAATATTAATAGAAAGTAATCATGTTTATAACAAAGATTAGTGATAATAATATCCTGGCTTACTGAAAATTATTTTTTTTTATTCTGAGTTGTATTAATATAAACTTTATAGAGTATCCAATTTATTGGTTAATTTTCATTATAACTTATTGTATGCCACTATACCGTAAATTCAATTGTGAGAATAACACGTCAATTAATGATTAACATAAATTGAAAAATGATGTAGAACAATAAGAATTTCAGATTTGACCGAATCACTACAGTTATTCTCTGACAAGTTACTTGTTGTGTTCTAGTTAGTGATACAATAATGATAGTCATCACATTGTTGTAACTTGTCATAACTATAGTAAGAAATATATTGAGTTACACCATTGTAGCTATAACTTTCTTATCACTTACTATAGTTATGATGGGTCCTGGTCAAAATCCTGATATGCACAATCCCTGACAGGTCATAATCTCGACAAAAAAATCCTCACAATCAAAATCCTAACAATCAAAAATCTTAACAGGCAGACTTTTTAGGTAGAAAATCCCGAATATGGGGCATGTTTAAAGCAAAGTAACCTCTTATAATTTAATTAACTTTAAGGTTAGGTTACTTTAAATAAGAGTTAAACAAGAGTTAGCTTATTTTTCATCAGAATTTTTAATTGTCTGAATTTTTATCTGTTGAATTTTTTTGCTGTTTGGATTTTCGTTGTCAGGATTTTTTTGTCAGGATTATGACCTGTTGTGATTTCACTTGTTGGGATTTTGACCCAAACCTATTAAAATTGGTATCATTTTATTTAATAATAAAATTTCTTATAGTCTTCTTTATGTTGACTATTTTTGTCTGCTAAAAATTTAACTAGATATTCAATTAGTACACTTAGTATCAGATGTTTATTTTTTATTTAATAAAATATATTTGAAAAAATATTAATAGTGTTTTATTTTTTATTATTATTTTTTTTAATATTAAAGTGATCTCATGGTTGGTAGCTTTATTGGTTTTTGTGCTAAGCTGATCATAGTTAGCCACTACTTATTTTGGTATATGATTTTGGAGAGTACAACTAGCCACACATATGACTTTTTATTATCTATTTAAGTAGTCTGTCTACAGGTTCTATACTAGATGCTATACCTATAATCCAACTAGAAGATTATCTATTTAAACTCTCTGCACTGCCACATTCTTATAAGAAACCAATCTTGCTATTGGAAGCATACCTACCTAGAGCTAATTTACCCTTGAAATAAACTTGCTAGAGCTTTTCATATCCACAATCTGGTTAACCTAAACTTCAGTAACTTATGCTAAGTCCAAAGATGAGTACTTGTGAGCTGAAATTGCTACTGTTACCTACTTCTACCCTTATAGAGTTTACTCAAACCCTGGTATATACTTTACAGACTATCACCAGTTGATCACAACAATTCTAAACTACCAATTCAGATAGCTTAGAAGGGCTATGACCTGCTTCTAGTCCCCACAGTTGGGTTTTTTTCTTCCAGTTACTTCTCCAGTAGTCTAGTTGGTAAAGTGTTTTGCCAAACTCTTTGGTCTCATTCAGTTTTGTCAGTTTTCTTAATGATAATTCTTTACAGTATTATCTCTCTATTCAGGTCTTGCCAAGCAAGTGCTCTACCACTGTATTAGCCCTGTAACTTTTTGTAATAATGGTACATGCTGTATAATTTCTTTATTATACAAATATCCAAGATCTTCTAGTTCTGATGAATTGGTATGATTACAGATACAGAGTCTCGAGTTTTTCTGACTATGACAATAGTTACTGAATCTATTTTCTCAAATTCAATTTTTATCTTCAGTAAGAATTGAACTTGTACTCAACTGCTTGGGTGTGACAACTTCACTACTTTACTAAGTTGCTACATCTTTAGTGTTTTATTATAATTATATCTCTCAAATAATATAAAAATAACTTATACTTGCCAAATATAATTTTACTTGCCTGATTAAAAAATAGAATATATATTAATTTCTAATAGGACAGTGTTGTCAAGCAAGTTAAAAGAAATAGATACTTTAAATCTTTACAATATTTTTTTGAATTTGTTATTTACAATTAGTTTGATATCTTTTTATATATTTTTTGCCAAATTTATAAAAAAAAAAATAGTATAGATTTAGATTTTGTAAAAAACTCTTTAAAAAACAAATACTTATATTATATATTAATTGGTAATTTGCCAGTCAACCAAAGAGAGGTTATAGTATAATATGATGCAGTTTATATATAGAAATTAGAGTTTTGCAAATGTGGGCTACACCATTCTAAAACTTTTTTTGATACTAAGTTAACCACCTTTGGGCTTCTAATTGAAGTTGTAGAGCTCATTGAGATGAATCTAATAGTGGTTAAATTATCAAAATCAGCCTTGTAAATCACAAGATATTTTTGAAAAACATTTTGCTGACTATATAAAATTCTCTTTCAACAATACTATTGTTGAAAGAAAATTTTATATAATTAGTAAAATATTTTTTGAAGATATCTTATAATCTACAAGGCCAATTTTGATAATTTAACCACTATAAGATTTATCTCAATGAGCTCTACAACTTCAATTAGAAGCCCAAAGGTAGTTAATTTAGTACAAAAAAAAGTTTTAAAATAGTGCAGCCCACATTTGCAAAACTTTAATTTTTATATATAAACCACATCACATTATACTATAATCTCTCTCTGGTTGACTAGTGAATCACCAATTAATAAAATTTTAAAAATTTGTTAAATAGAATCAACCAAGTTGTATATATAATATGTTTATTATTAAAATAAAACTTACTATATTTTTTTATAATTTAGCAATGTTGTCTTCTTTATTTGAATACTTAAATTACTCAACTTTCAATATTTGTAGTCATTAGTCTTTACTTCTACTAGTCTTATAACTTTTAGTTTTTTTCTTTATTTTTTTTTT